AATTTTTAGGGGGTTTACAATCTTAACAGCTTAAAAAAATAGCCCTTTTCGTGAATTACACGCGAGAAACTGTAAATCAACGGCTTCTTATGGCCACCGATTATTTTATGGCATAAAGAACGCACGGTACTTTTCAGCATAATAATTTTTTGAATTCTTACATCTTATTATTTGATCAAATAAACTATTTGGATTCCGAAAAAATATGTTTTTAATAAGAAGATTTTTGTTCTGAGATGTGTTAGGAATACGTGTAAAATTTCTAACTAAAAACGTTTCACATTACATGTCAACACACTATGGTGTTTTATTTAGTAAGCCTCGGGTGAAGCCGAGACTGGGGGCTGCTAGTTAATACAATAAAGAAACAAATTAATGTAATATCAAAAATTTGATCTACAAGTTTTTCCTTCGGCTTGGAAGTCAATTACATACCTGAGAGGAAATGCTATACTTTTGTCTGTTGTGGCGTCATACACTATTTCTACTATTGTGTGATGGCTATTTTATGAGATTCTGAATAAAGTGACATAGTTGAATTTGTTTTCAAAAGCATAAAAAATAAGATTTACAGTTTTACATCTGCCAACGTATTGTATTTCAAAAAGAAAACATAATTCGTTGTCCCACGTAAAAAATTTTAAGTTTCGCCAAAAGCTATGACTGTTTATCTGTATTTTAAATACTTTATCTTTGTTTACATATTTTTATAAATCTTTTTTTTCTTCTTTTGCTATAACTATAATTTTTAACTTTTAAATATATTCTGATTAAAATTTTTTATTTATAATTTGTACCATTGTTATCCAGAAGTTAATATATTTAATTATTATCAGATGTTTTTTTTTTATTAAAATTTTTATTTAGTAGTACTATAAGTTTATTGAAACAAAAACCGAATAGATGTTTGTAATGAATACTCGTAACATAAAAAAAATTTTTTATTATAACATCATTTTTAAAAGGTTTGTATGTTTTAATGAAAAAATTAAAACATTATCTGTAACAAGAAAACTGTATGAATTTTGAAACAAAATCCAGAATAATATTTAAATATTTCAAGACACTTTAAGAGATTTTGTAGTTATTAATACATTTATTTTCATAAATAACTATTTTTACATTAAACTATTATCTGAGGGATCGTAACTGTATACACATTAGGGTGGCGCAAAAAAACTAACTATTTTTTTTAAGGCTCGAGAGAAAATATATTAGTTTTTGATGCGGTAATAACTCCCTTTAAAGGACAGCTTAAATACAAATTTTTAAGAGGTTGCTCCAAATTTTTTAGGATTTAAAAAACGACCAAAAACCACATTTCTTTTTCATTTAAGTTTTTTTTCTCGTTGTCATATAATTTTATAGACCAAAAAATACCAAGTTTCTGAAAATTGCAGCTCGAAATTTGAATTTCAAAAGGTTGCTTTTAATTTTTTTTAATTTACTAGTGCATTACTTAAGATTTTTTTGAGCGGACTTTTAATATGTACACTAGTAAATTAAAGAAAATTACAAGCAACCTTTTAAAATTTAAATTTTGAGCTTCCATTTTCAGGACTTTACTATTTTTTGGTCTATAAAATTATATCGTTATGAGAAAAAATATCTTAATAAAAAAAAATTCGGTTTTTGGCCATTTTTTAAATCTTAAGAAGTTTGGAGTGACCTCTTAAAAAATGTTTGAGCTGTCCTTCGAAGGGAGTTCTTAGTACATCAAAAACTAATGTTTTTTCTCTCGAGGCTTAAAAAATAGTCGGTTTTTTTGCGCCACTCTAATACTCGTAAAATTAAAGTATTTATTTTAGGAATATAATTTACATTATTCTTCTCTTACTCTTTCATATCTTTGGTTTATGGTAAGATTATAAATCATATTTTAGCAATTTTTTAGTTTGAAGAAGATATTAATAATCATGGCTTAGTGATGAATCAGCACCATTTTTCTTGTGGTTTGCAGTAGCTGTTTGCAAAAACTCTTATTTGTAGCGATTAGTCGTGAGCATTATTGACAAAAAAGTAGAACTGTGTTTTCTAATGTACTTATTCACATACAACCGTTAATACGGTATACGTATACATACGTATACATATATGAGCATATATTCATATCTAGATACTATCAAGCCTATGTAAAGTAATTATTCTTCACTCGGCGTTTTTAATATGACATCGTTCTTGAAGTTAAACCATCAAATTCGAACTTCTTCAGTGTCGTGTGCAGTTTTAAATAAATCTCTGTCAGGGAGAGTGAAACTTACATTATTTCCATTGTAATATTTTTATAGTTCATCATATTTTCCATAGTACTAATAATAACCCTGATACTTCTATACCAGCATTCTTTACTTTGTAATTTCAACATTATACTAATAGATCCTTAGTGAAAAGATTCGTAAGAGATTGCACGTACATTCTTAATTATTGAGAAGATTCGAAAATATAGAATATTAAAACTATTTTTTTTACTTTAAAAGTAGGGATTTGTTTCTGTTTAAGTCCGATATCGACAAACTTCATTACGGTTTATTGACTTTCAAAAGACTCATACCTTAAGTCCTTTTTTTATACCTTCTCAGCTAACAGATCTTAATTAAAAAGTGGTGTTATTTGAGGCAGTCAAATGGTAAACTATGAAAAAAATAATATTCAAGAGTTGGAAAATTACAAACAATTGTGTAATACGTTCTATAATACGTTTTAGAAAAGAATTCCTTTGACACACTATAAGATAAACAAACTTTTTATTTTGTCACTCCATTTATTCAATTACTTTTAACTTTAATTTGAATTATATGTAGTTTTTAATGATACTGTCAAGGGTGACTTGTAAGCAATGAAAAAGTGCAGTACATAATTATGTAGTCATACCGTAAATTATTCCGAAATTGAAACTTTTATTTTTCAACAATATTTCAGAGATTTATGGCTGTAATATTACACACATGCTCATTGTTTCAACAAATAAAACACTTAACTAATTAAAATAGAGTTATACGAAACAATTCTATAATCATAATATGTTTTTACCATCAAATATTTCACCAAGTTTACTTTTTGATCATTAAGCATACACTTTTTCACTTGCCTTAAAATTGTATTCATAAGATTTATTACATTACATAAAACAAAAAAATTCACAAGTGAACATGCAAATATTTGCCACTTAGCTTTTTTTCCGGTGAATTTAATCGTAACCTTATTAATTATATATTATTAAAATTGGATCATTACTGAAACTAAGCAAGTTTTTTTTTCTTAGACTTATAATGTTATAAATTACTTTATTTAGTTAAGGATGAAAAAATTATTTGAAAATAGCATATGTCTAATTCAAAATCATTATGAAGTTACGGTTAGGCTACGAGTAAACTAATAATATTCATGGAAAGAAAGGAAGAAATAAATAAATAAGAGGAGGAAGGTTAGTTAAATCTTACAAAGCTTTCTCCAATAAACCAAGAGTGTCAAAAGAGGAGAAATACAAGCTTTGGGTGGTCTACATATACGATTAAGACAGCGGATGTGGTCAGATGTGTATGCCTGAACTTCGTGGACCAAGTAAAAATTTTTTTTATTTGGTAGGATTTTTTCAATATTTTTTAGATCATAATACGCTATGATTTAAATTATTGTACGTCCATGTATGTAACAAATGTCTTTTTAAAGTATAATTCAATAAATTTTAAAGGTTATTCTTTAAACCATAGTACATCTAGGCTGCAAAATATCAGATGACTCGCTCAAAATACCACAAAAAGACTTTATATCTTGTTATTCTTAGAAAACGGGCTTTGAAAAAATGTTTACAAGACACGTTAACAGCTGTTGTACGTTTTGTTATAGCATGTAAGATCTTTTACTGTATTCATAGTCAAACAGTTGAACGAAGTAATCGCTACTTGAAACAACATTTTTCGTGATTTTTGGATATTTACTTTTCTATTAATAAGTGTACCATAAATAATGTAATTTCTAAGCCATAAGCAAAGAAAAATTTTTTATTTAATAGCAGTGTTAATTATCCGATTCAGTTCTCTCAATTCAAAAAAATGAAGATACTCCTTGTGGACATTGGCGTACTATGATTATTAGTTACTCCTATAATTCCGGGAGTACTAAATAATACATTTAAAATAATAGCTATCATCTCATATTAGTTTTGAATCCATCACTTTAGTAACTCAGGCAGCTATACACCAGCCGACACCAAAAATAAAGTATCCAAAAATTAATGGCAAATTCTGAACATCCCAAAAGTACGATTCCTTAGCAGAAAAACGAAAGGAACTCAGCCCCCTCGAACCAACTATATCCTCAAATGCTTTTAAATGCATTATGCAGAAATGGTCCCGTGTTAGTCACACCCTTTCTTCTCCTTCCGTCCTTTCGTAGTTCAAATATAGAACTTGTCTTGCGAGTAATTGTTCGGCGTCGTCCAAAGCGGTTAACTTAGCAGCGTCTACGATATTTCTTAGCAAAGTCCGCGCGTCGCCAGGCTCTTTATCAATGCTGGTTTCGTATGTGCGTACCACCACATCTTATAAATAATGGCTGTCTTAATCAAGAAAGCAGAAGGAGAGAGAAAGACAGAGATAGTTAAAGTTTTTGGGGACTACGTGGCTTTACGGCTTTCTACTTATTGCACGCGTTGCTCAAAACTTTGGATGTAAACCGCACGTAAGACATTGGACAGGTTGGAACTTGTTTACGATTCAAGTGATAAATTGCTGACAAAAATGAAAGTTGTTATTCAGCATAACTTCTGTATTCCTTTATGTCAATTTTTTATCACAGTCAAACGTTGTTCCTGCCTACTGTCAAGTTAGTGTACTAAACTTATACCAAAGGTATAATAAATCGATACCCTTTCAAGAAAATCCATGCACACAAGTAATCCCACGAGAAAAAATCAATGAACCAAAGAAAAACGTGTCTATGCACATGATAAGATACACAAAACAATAAACACCAATTCAAAGAAAGTTAGTAATGCTTACAGTGATACTCACTGGTCTTGGATCGGGGCTCACGAGGCCCGTCAACTGTCACCTTAATCGCCTTGGCGTAAGTTGCTACCTGAGGTGGGGACGTCGACACTGTTATCGTCAGTGTGAAGCTTTTTCCTGAAAAATGAGTCAAAAAATATTCATTGCACTTATGCCTTTAACACTATGTTAAATTTAATGTATAAGATGTTTATTTCAGATAACTTGCTCCCGTATAATAATATAAATAGTGATAACGCACTAAATTTGGTGTGTAGAGCGTGACTTTATTAAACAAAAAGATTAAGTGCGCCAATATTTCGATATCATCAGGCTGATATCCTCTTCGGGGCAACAATGCGAGTGAAGAGATAACACAATGCTACACGACTAGAGTGATGACAAGACTAATACATGGTAATACATATAAATTTGATTTCATACACAATATACTCAAAAATCTCTACATTGTACATGCTTGTTGTTTCAGTTCAGATGTTTCGGTGCATTTAATCTTTTTGTTAAATAAAGTAATGCTCTACAAACCAAATGTTGTGCATTATCATTATTCACTATGTTACATAAATTGGTAAACAACATGAATAATTACAAGGCTATGAACTATTTGAACTAATGAATAACTATGCATTCCTGAAGAGTACGAAGAAAAAGACTATTGAAATTCCAATCATTTTATATTATTTGTGGTATTGAATGTTTTTACAAGAGTGGTTCCACGTAACAGAACAAGATAAATAAATAAATAAAAAATTCATTGTTTATCAACTGACATAGTTTTGATGCTAAAAAAAAAAGTGAAGTAACAAAGTTCTAAAAGTAATTTCAAGTCCGTTTCAGTGGTTAGGCAGCCAAAACTCAAATCTTATTTGATCAAAATGTCCACTCTACACGATATCTTTATCACAATTTGAGTACTATCTCTATAACATTACTAGACTACGGTAGCAGCAGTAACAGTTTTTTGTAATGATAGAAGAACGATGGGAGCCCTTGTACGGACAGATGGCCATACATCGTGGCCCCTCGCGTTCACGTGCAGCTGGCAGCGAGTGTGTATACTTTTTCTCTTTCTCAATACATTACCGCCGGGCCGGCTAATTCGTTTTACGAAGTTTCTGCACGCAGATAACCGCGTTTGCAAAACTTTCACTGCCACTCTCTCTGTCTCTCTCTCTCTCTCTCTCTCTCTCTCTCCACGCTACTGTTGCTGCCGGACTACACGCTGAACTGTACTACTCGTTTCCGGCCTTTTCAATTTTGTTATGCACATGCTCAATTCACTGGGCTCTTTTGTTTTTGTTGACAGTATACATCGTTTTGATAAATATAATTGTTTTGTGTTTTTTTACTATTAATTTAAAAAAAAAAAGAACTTCTGCACAGCCTCAAACGCAATTAGAAACAAATCAAGAACAGCTTGCGAATATTTTTAGCTCACACTAATGCACTTGCAGTTTGGAAGTCAATACACAGAGAGAATGTCATAAAATTCCCGGTGGCAACAACTGAAAATTGGAATCGATAAATATGGGTGAAAGTATTAGCTAAAAGTGCGGGCACGCGATCCAATACATAGAGCTTACGTGCACTTGTACATAAAAACACATATGAATACGAAGAGGTACATGTGGAAGAAGAGAAAACGAGGCCGTATCTGGTACCAGAAATGATGATAATAGGTATTCCGAGTGTCAAAGTAGTGGCCACAGCAGTGGTTCGGTTTTTCGTCGTCACCACCACACCAACACCCAGGCACGTGCAAAATCTACATCTACGTGAACGTGACTGTTTTCTCAACTCGTTTTTTCCTGCATACCTACTGTTACAACCACTTTTTTTTTACTTACTTGTCAGAAAATTCCAGTAACTCTATACGTTGGTGGAGAGAAAGGGGACAACATGTACCTATTTTTCTGTATTATTTATTGACTTAGCTTTGCCTATTACGTCCTGTATACAAATGGCAAGGCAAACGATGACTCAAAAAAGATTGTAGATCGCAAAAAATCTGATCAGGGGCATCGTTTGATTGCATTATTACGTATAAAGTTTTTGATAAGGGTCGAATCAATAAAGTTTTGTTATCCGTACCAATGGCATTCAAAGAAAAATTATGAAGAATGGGATCTTATAGATTTTAGCAAAAAAAAAAGAATGCCGAAGCAGATAGAGAAACCATATTCGTGGAAATATTGACACCAACTTGCCCAATACAAATCCGTTGGACTCGTCGAGTGGAAATCGGACTCAAAAACAAAAGAAAGAGACAGCCGAGGGACACGCGGTAGACAGATAGAGAGGAGAGCCATTCGAGCGCTAATGACGCACACTGCACGTTTCTAATGCTTCTCTATTGATCAATTTCAATTTCCACCATTACCATCCAGAGATAGAGTCACCAACAGCTATACGGCTACACCACTCACACCGTCCAGAGAAATAGAACGTGATTATGAACGTGGTCCGCATACACGTACCAACAAAGGTGTCCATTCATTCACAGGGACCAGTTCGGCGTTCGAGGATTTTTCCTGGATCACACGCGCGCGCGCGCGTTCCCTAGCCCGTGAAATCGATTTCATCCAAACCAGCCCTATGGGACTATGTGCCGCCACCAATAATACCATACTCGGCCACCCACTCGCTCCTCCTTCACCCGCGAAACAGTTCCTGTATGTTTTAACGGCGCTAGCTAGCCAGCACCCGTTAAGCTCATTACGCATGAGAATTGTTGCCGCTCGAAATGGAAATTCAAGTCACGTGCCACCGAGACCACTGCTGCGCTACGCTGGGTTGCGGAAAATGGTTCAGGGAGGTGGAGGATACGAAATTATGTTGAGCTTCACGTTGCTGCGCCATGGAGATAGACGAGGGGGCTGTTTTTTGTCTGTGCTTTTTTTAAAAACAGTTCGCAAATTAATTTTTTAACGACCTTTGCGTAATTTCCTAGCGTTCGTGTGTTTTCTCGCAACTCATTTGATCAACCGTGGTTCCCGTAACATTTTAAACTACAGAGTGAGTTTATCCGAGGGGCTACCCTCTTTGAAGTCTTTAATTGACTTAGAATGACTCATGAAATCTTTTTTAATGACTTCAAGAATGCGCAGCCCCTCGAGTTTATCTTGGTTAAAAACTTTGTTAGTTTTATCGTTAAACAACATTTTATTGTACTCGGTCTGTGGCTCTATTATCTGAAGATGATAGGTACCTAGCGGCTTCCTGAAACGTGACGCCACGGCACTTTGCTCAGCTTTATACATAATAATAATAAATGAACAACCCTGTTAAGGGGCTAACATCAGAGAAACTCTCAAAGATACGAAGATGATTTTACTCGTACGTGCCGTAAGGTGGGAGTTGATGAAACCCGATATTATATAGAGCGTATGTATATAGAAGTTTCTTAAGACGCTAAGCGAAGGTGGAGAGGATCCCGAAGATGAGTCTTTGCGGATGTGGTTTATCGTGGCTCTATAATCTAGCTCAGCAGTCCCGTCCAAATAAACGGTTCAGGTTCAATCCATCAATTTCCTGTACAAACTTGTACGTGTTATGGAGGAGTCTGAAGTAGTCAGTAGTAGGTTCTTGTTATATTGTGTTAATAAGTGATAATTAATGATATTGTAGAAATGTTCGGAATTCCGTTCAAACTGCATGTTTTCTTGGCAAATTTTAATCCCACTCTGTCAAACAGAAAATTCTTTTTTCACATTGAGTCTCGTTACGGGTTTTGATTGTGATTATGATAATCGTCTGCTGCAAATTATCAAGTTATTCATATTCCTACACTAAAATATTATGATACTACACCTTACTGACGAAATTTATCGATTGGTGCTCATCTATGTGTCATATATTATCTTTGTCATGTTAGGTTGAAAAGAGTGAATAAAATTTGTTTGGATACTTTTAAATCAAGCTTAATTTGTAAGCCTCTAAAAATTTTGAGACTAATATTTACCTTATATTATTACTACAACATAGTTAAAAATTAGTTGTACCATGTACATTTGTACATGTGATAATTGTGCTAGTAAAGATCACATAAAGTGAAAAAATACGAATTTTTTTTTTTGAATGTTATCAAATCTAGACGGTAACTTACATCAGAAAATTATTTTTAAAAAGTTTAGGAATATTTATTATGTTATGACAATGCGAATGGCTTGAAATACAAACAGAGAAAAAGATCGTGAATAATTCATTGAGAGCGAACGAGAGTCAATTTCTTACCGATTTCATTTTTCAGACTTTTACAGCCACCGTTAACGAAAGTTACTCCCGATCTAGCGAAGTGTTCTCACCGTTGACCATTTAACTCGTTCAAACTTTGGTATAATAAAAGCAGCCCTAGACGATCCTAACGTTTGCCTTGCGCGCAATACCCAAGTAACAATATTATTTATGACTATGCTGGGAAATCTAACCACCACAATATTCATCTCTCTCTCTCTCTCTCTCTCTCTCACTGACTCCTTACCAATGTTCTCGTTACAAAACTCCTACACTGCATTATCTGAGTTATAATATTAAGAGTTTCTCGTCACACACTCACATACTTGTTGCAGCGCAAAGATTACTTAATAGAAAGTAGTCGAAACTTAAAATACTGACATTATAAATAAATCAATGGTTAACTATCAAATGAACCTCAATCATCCTATAAAAGTAAAAAATATGAAGTTAAATTAAAGTTTACAATTAACAGTCACACAAATAAAATAACATTCGATAAAATAAACAGTTAAAGTTATTTAGCTTTACTTGTTTTCAATGTTGAGATTTACCAACTTGCTCCAATTTCTTTACAGGTTTACAATATGAAGTCTGAATAAAGTAAAAAATAACCTCCAAGTCTAATTGATGAAATCCCTGACTTAAAAAAATAAAACTTATCACATCGAGTTCTAATTCTGATTTCTGAAGCAGTATCGATTCCTTAAGCTCTTTAGCAATTTTTTTACGAATTAGGATAATCAGATCCGAAAACCCTCTTTAACCTGCCTTCAAACTTGCTTCGCTACAGATTTTTGTGCAGTTTCTTTATTCTTTCAGAAACAACATTTTTAATATCTCTGTACCACAAATCTCATAAACAGAACAGATAATAAGTTCTCTATTTTTTGCGAGCACTTGAACGCATTAATTAATTGTAAAGGATGTGTTACCCATTTTAACCTCCACTTTTTTAAATTATATACCTAAATTCAGAGAAAAGACCTACATAATGACAAAAGTCTCAAAAAACAAAAAATTAAGACCATTACTGGAATTAATTAAGTACTAACAGTGTTTTATTAGAACAAGTCAATACCATGCCCATAAAGCTCTCTCAATAATATCTTGAATTTAACTTAACTGGGTACTAGAAAAATTTCAATGCATATTATATTCATCCCCGCTGCTGGTCAGATTTTTACGTTAATCTTTTTTCTTAACTTTAGAGTTCTTTGGTATTCGTTTGTATAGAAAACAAGTAATTAAATTTAAAACTGTTGATGATGAACCTCAGCTTTCCCGATTAAATAATAAATAATAAGTAGAAGAGATGTACGTGTAAATGTTTATTACTGATAAACTAAAATTATTTTTTATTCTTAGAATAAAAAACTTTCATAACATTTTACTTTAAATTATATAAATAAAGTGAGAAATGGTTGGAGGTAATAAAGTCAATGCTTTAAATACTTCACACTTAGCACACTTAGAACTAACGAACGATTCCCAACATTTTATCTCCAAACCATTAAAACAAGAGAACGGGTATATCAATGAGCAAGTGTAGAAATCAAAGTAGAGGAAGGAGTTTTCCGGCGGGCTGAGCACGTGGACAAATAAAATCCATTACCCCAACTCCCTCGAGGTTCCCGCGAAGACGTCCCACCCAAGAGAAAAGGAAGGGGCTTCCTACGCTTTCCAGTGTTGTCTCCTCTTAAGCCTTCCTTTCCCATTCCCTTTTACTATCACCACCGAAAACGACGTAACGACTTTTCCCCTCCCGTAAAAATTCGACCTCAAGAATTGGCCGCGACCTGCCCCAAACGCTTTCTTTAAGTACCAGTAACCCCTCTTTTAAGACACCCTCTACCTTCAAAGGAGGATAAAGAGGATGAGATTGAGAAGGAGTAGGAGAAAAGTTTCGTGTCCTGTCTCCCAGGGAATACCCTCAAAGTTTTGTGAATGAAAGCGTGTCGCACGTAGCAGTGAAGAAACCGAGAAGGTTGTTAACACAAGAAACGATGCGTTTATGGGCTGTGGGCTTTTATAGGGTGTTATTACTTCCGTTTAATTAAGCTAACCTAGGAGGTTTTAAACCCTCTTCTTAGTGATTTTAGAGGAACCGTGTAGTCTAAGGATTGACGTGATTAAGAATAATCGACTGAACAATTAATTTTCCTTCCATTCTTATTAATAGTTGTAATTCATAAGCGGTTATTTGTAATGACCATTGAGAAGGATCTTACCTCGACCACTTCGACCAACGAACCTCAGGTCATTGAATTTTGCTACGCAATTCTTCATCAGAGCGGTTGAGTTGCGCAGCTCAGCGCAACAGTTTTCGTCGTTGCCCGCACGAACAGTGACAACGGTGCCGTCACCAACTTCACCCAGAGCTACAACCTTAAACGCCACAGGTAGCGTCTTATTGGACCTCCAATGTGTTGGCAGAACTGTGCACACCAGATGTGGAGATCCTAGTATCAAAATCATCGTTACTATCTCATTGTGAAGAAAATATGTTGTTTACTGGGCGTTAGAATCCACTCACCAGTCCTTACGAGTTCGCCGGGATGCTCGTTCATATAGTCGCTGAGTGTCTTCTCAGCAAATATATCACTAGTCATTTTTGTATAAGCGTCGGCCAGCGGGGAGACACCACTTTCAGGTGAAGCAGCATTGCCAGGTGCTGAAGCTCCCGTTAGCTGCATCCTTGACTGGCTGGTTGCAGTTTCCGCAACCTGAGCTGGCATACTGTTATTGCTCGCTAGAGTGCTAGTTGAACTAGGGTGCTGTTGCTGCTGGTGTTGTTGCTGTTGTTGTTGATGTTGTTGAGCTTCTGTTGCTTGGAGATGGTGGGTCTGGGCGTGAAGGTTGGCTGATCGAGTAGAAATGGAAGAATTTGAGTGGTTAATGGCCGGGTGGATACCAAGGCCGGGCCCGTTGCACCGGCCGAATATATCCATAGGCGGGGTCCGCCTAAAGCGCGTCAAAGCTTATGGTGCATCGTTATCACTAATTTTTTTGTCCCTGTAGTCGGTATTTTCCGGAGAATGACTGGCTTATCATTAAATTTACGTTCTAATGATAATTTGTGAACCATACAGTATAACTGCTTTATTTTGTTTCTATTGAAGTCATTGTTCTGGATATCATGATGTTCGTTATTCACTTACATGTAGCAATCCTTTCACCAGTCAAGTAAGTGGTTTAGACACGAGCACTTGATTATTACATTTGCATGAAATGTTTTACTTTATAATAAAGATTAACTGGGTACAATGTATCAGATTCATGTATAAATAGCACTGACAAGTTATTAAATTGCACAGATTCCGATGACTTTCTGCGGCTGCCGACGAACCTTAACAAAATAAGCAAAATAATCTATGAGTAAATCTGAAAGAGAAAATATTTTATTTTNGACGGCGAGTGTCAGGGAATAAGGGGTGCAAGGGAGGAGAAGAAGAAGCCACGTGGATTGTGTATGCTATTAGATTTTCAAAAGTGAAGTTGCAATCGAACAGTTGGCTTCATTGTGCTTACATGTGTGCGTATAAGGTGTGCGAGGGTGGGTCTACACTGCTGCGAGTCTGTTATTACTCCTTTCCAGCTTGGATATTGTTTCAACTATTGATTTTCATTCGTTTGTAAAGGTGGTATGGCATGTATAGCAGATGCTTTTTTTTAATAAAATGCAATCCCATTTACAGAGCTTGCCCAGAAAATATTGTGTACTTGTTGATGGTAGAAAAATGTTAAGTAAAGTCTATGGCGAAACTATGATTTTATTTTTTTATACAGCTCTTATAAGTTATGGTTTTGGAAGAACATAATTTGTGCAGTTTTAGTGAGTAAATAAATAATTATAAAATGAAAAATAATTATTAGCACGTCTGAAGAGTGGCAAAACATGTCTAGGGTAAATTAATTTTTCAAATTTTGATTCAATCAACCGTAGTTCTCTCAAAAACGTTGGAATAGTATGAAAAAACAAAAGCTTGCAATAAAATGGTTTTGAGGGAGAAGATAGATCTGTATTTACACCTTTTTTTCAGCTAATAGATGTATTTTACCTAAACTTTTTTCACGCTCAGGCTACGGCCGTCGCTCCTCGCTCGAGCCATGACAACGACTTTTCACACACTTGTTTTTTCGCATTCACAATATCCACAGTCTGTTTTTTCCCTTTTTTTTTTTATCCATTCACGTGACGTCAGCGTTCATTCAGTAATTTTTGAGATAGCCAAATGAGTGAAAGCAAAAAAGGGCTGCAGCTAAAAAGAGGGATGAAGTGTGCCACAGTCCTGTGACACGAGGGGGTGCATTACAAGCCCTTGCAGGTTGTAAAAACGAGCAGACAAAACATAGGGTGAGAAGGAAAGAGAGGAAAAGAGAAAGCAGAAATACAGGCAGGGAATGGAAGGTGGGGGGAAAAAATGGGGGGAAATGCGAGGGAGTTTCCCACCCCCCTGCACTCAAGAGTTCTTTCTCTTTCTCCCGCTCATTCTTTCTCGTTTCCTCGCTCGCACATGCACCCCTACCGAAAGGGAAATTCTCTCTCGCAATCTCTCTGTCTCTCAGCTATTCGCTGTTTACCGCGTGTCAAACTGTCTGCCTACCAGCTTTATACTGTTGTACACTAGGGCACGTGGCCACCGAACCGCCGACGGATACCTGATTGTTGATGCTGCTACCACTAATAGTGATTCAACAAGTATGGACAACTGCCGACTTTTCTACTTGCTGTTTAAAAGTATGGATGTTTTATATGCTTGTGTATTGTCTCAATATCTTGGGTTGTCCTTTTTTGACGCTTGTGCGATAGCTACTTATTTGAACCCTCGTTATTCATAGTTGATGAAATCCTTTGATTTTCAAATTCCTCTCTAAAGAAAGACTTTTAAATGTCGTAAAGTAGATTGAACATCATGTATAAATTGGATTTTACCGTATTCATTTAGTAATGTTGAGTTAATTTAATGATGAGAATACTAATTTTTAGCTCGTTCAGTTCAAAATAAGAAAACCTCTGTAACTTAGATATTACTATTTAATAATTTTACAGTCGTTATTATTTTCTTTGATGCTTGAATTTAACTAAGAGCTATGACACATGTTTATTTTATCGGAAAGAAGATAAACCGGATTTAATGATTAATTTTTATGCAAATCAATAGGACTTGTGATAGAAAACCAACTATTCAAGAGTATTATTAGCGAATGTTAAAAAAGTATATGTTTCTTTGACAAATCACTCTGACAAAAAGGTTTAATAGAATCCACAGCAATAAAGCCCAATCATTAGAATGCTACAAAAACAAAGTTAAACGCTGCCTGTTATTGTTTTCCATAGCTAATTTTTTATCTCTGTATACAATATAAATCATTACCATCTATTGTCTTGGATAAAAATGATAATCAGGTACATTTTTTCCTACTGCATTACTAAAGTTGTGAAGTAGAGAAAGTATTAAGATGCCCGCTTGACTATGCATTCAAGTCTCTTTCTGATTCTTCTTCTTCAGACGATTTCACAAGTATTTTCATAACGTGCAAGTGAAACCACAGTATGTCTCATCCACCAAAATAATCTTATAGTTATGCCTACAATTGATACTGAATCCAAATAAAGCCAATCAAATTTTAATTAACCAAATTTTAATATCCTTACTAGCTGCAGGTTGGAACAACTTGCACTAACCACACATCACATTGCTATCACCTATTATAATCATAACAACAACTATCAGACATTGACATTGAAATTCACATCAACGTTGCGTGAAAATGAACACTTACTATAAATCACCTACAGTATATTGGAGCATCTCTATTATCTGCAGCTGATTTAATTAAGAGAAATACACACACTGTCACTCAAAATAAAAGTTAACACACTTATGTCAATAAACTAGCACTAGCAAAATTCACTATGCAAATTACGAGCTACTTTTATTTAAATAGCAACGTCATAGCCACAAAAAAGTTAGCAATCAGTGACAATAGCCATTAGACAAATAGAAGCACCTTCATCGGTAGATAGTAGAGTTACGGTATGAGTATACGCGATAACGATAATTTGGAAAGCGGTACGTATGAAGCAACTGCCGTTGACGCACTGGGTCCATGCCTACATGCGCCACTAGCGCAGCATCCCTTTGGCCTCACTTTCTCACTACGTCCCCTCTGTACCCCTTTCCTTGTCCCCCGAGTGTGGGGAGCAGTAGTCCTCTCCCCAGCTTCCGTTTTCCCCTCTCTCGCTTCCTTCTGTTGTCTTCCTCACTCTATCCCACAACCCCTTCTCTCTTCCTATCTTTACTTTTGCCTCTCTCCCTCTCTCTTTACCTGCGGTTCGTTCCTCCTCCCCCGTGTGCTCGTCTGTTTCCTCTTCCTCTGGACACTGGTCAGCCGATGGTTCGTCTCTCTCTAGATCCTCCCCCCTTTCCGGAGAATTTGGGCAGTCTCGCTCGCTTTTTAACGGTTGTCTTTGTCGGGCTACTGCTCCCTTTTAACTTCCTACAAATTCTGTGGTTCACGACGTGTGCTACCCATGTCTCCACCTCAGTCGTAAAGAGGAGAATCTTTTTTTTCTCCTTTGAAGAGAAAAGAGCGAAAATAGGGGTCTGAGGCAAAGGCGTGACTTTTTTCTAACGTTGTTTTTTTTTTTTTTATTTATTTATTTGTTAGGCTTCTTTTAACGAATACAGCTGTTAAATCTATAAAATTAATCTTTGTTATTAAATAGTGTTATGTAAAGTTTTTTTATTTCAAAGAAAAGTAAATAATACGCAATAATCGCCGATGAGTGAGCTCATGAATAAGTAATTGACGTTTGTTTCTCAGGCTCGAAAGTAATCTTTCCTATTGTTTGTTACGTAAAGTTGTTTCATGCAAGTGTCGTTAGATGAACAAGGGTGTTTTTTGTACATTCATGTATGGCGACTAGTAGCGAGATGAAATTTTTTTCCATTGTTATGCATGAAAATGCTCTTTGATTCTTTCCCAATCCCATTTATATTTTTTGAATATTTCACAAATTCAAGTGAATACTGTTTCTCTGTAACGGACAACGAAACTGCATGGGTCTCTTTTTGTGCTTACAACTCTTATGCATGTCATAAGGTACTCTTTCATCCTAAAAAGTTATTTAATAATATAATTAAAAAGATCGAAGAGTAATTAGATACAACAGTATGTACATCGAGAGACAACAATGGAAAATCCGAGTTCACATGCTAAGCTACTCCATCCAGATTCATGATTTACCTTAGCGGCACTCAAACTAGCGAATTCATGTGTGTAGTTGTGTCGTCAGTCTCTTTTCCTTTAGCAGCCGTTCAGTTATTATAGCGCAACGATGCAAGCAAACTAGCACATGGTAATGCACGCGTACACATGATGTACTTGCGATACGAGATCGTTGAGGCGAAAGGCTGGGCAGATTCGATATTTGCAGAGCCAGACAAACATCGACGGCGAGTGTCAGGGAATAAGGGGTGCAAGGGAGGAGAAGAAGAAGCCACGTGGATTGTGTATGCTATTAGATTTTCAAAAGTGAAGTTGCAATCGAACAGTTGGCTTCATTGTGCTTACATGTGTGCGTATAAGGTGTGCGAGGGTGGGTCTACACTGCTGCGAGTCTGTTATTACTCCTTTCCAGCTTGGATATTGTTTCAACTATTGATTTTCATTCGTTTGTAAAGGTGGTATGGCATGTATAGCAGATGCTTTTTTTTAATAAAATGCAATCCCATTTACAGAGCTTGCCCAGAAAATATTGTGTACTTGTTGATGGTAGAAAAATGTTAAGTAAAGTCTATGGCGAAACTATGATTTTATTTTTTTATACAGCTCTTATAAGTTATGGTTTTGGAAGAACATAATTTGTGCAGTTTTAGTAGACAATGCATAAAGAATTCACGCTTAACCAAAAAAAAAAAAAAAAAAAACAGAAAAAATTTTTACTTTTGATGCAATTTTCAGTCTATCATAGCACCTAGGAGAATTGTAGTGGGGTTATAGCAAATCAGGGAAAAAGGCAGAGGTAAAACAAGTTTTCTCTCAACAGGAAGTAAGCATTCCTGGGTGCTGAGACACGAAGAATCATGTACGCACCACG